GATGAGCAAGGGAAGTTATAGGGCAGTGGTGTACGTTTAGAGGATGATGTGGCCGGAAAGGGAATCTGAAGCCGATGGGGGAGGTGTCGGTTGGCAGTCTGCTAGTGGGGGGTGGGGGGAAGGGTGGCCGACGACTATGACTTGGAAAGGGGGATTGGTGCCTCGGCTAGGTTGGGAGAAAGGGGAAGAGAAGTTACTTAGGCCTAGAGTCGCTGACAGCCATTGTCGGCCGCCTCCGACCTACGTCATCATCAAAACCAAGAGGTCAACTAACAAGGGAGAGACGAGTGGAAGCAAGAAACAAAGAAACCTGGCAAGAGGAAGGAAGAGGAAGATCTGGCAAGAGAGAAAGAGAGAGAGCCGATGAGAGGGAATTGGAGCGAGAGAGAGTTCCGGCAATTTGTTTATCGATGGCAGAGAACAGTTTGAAGAGAGAGAACGGCTACAAGGTTTTTTTGAAAATAGGCTACCGCTTTTAAATTAACCAATAGATTTGTTTTAAATTCCAAGAAATAATTTGAACTCTCTCCCATTAAGACACAACCATTATATAGTAAAAATACACATTAGTGTACCATCATCTCTTATGGAGCTAAAGACTCACTTGGCTTTGGAGTATGATGGAATAAAGCAAAACGACTATTTTAACTGTTGGCACCTCTTTTTATAGTGAAGTACTCTATAGTAATTAGTCATGCAACTTTCGATGTTCACCATGGATCATTTGGAAACAACCACTCTATGTTTTAAACATACGGGTCAGGCTGCATAACCTGACCCACCCTTACCCCGTAATGGGCGGGAGTCTTTGAGGCATTGGGTAATGTTGTAGTGTTGTACAAATTTGTGTATCATGATGCTAGAGCTACAATTAGTATAAAGAAAAATGAAAAAAAAATGCATAGCATCTCCTAATTTCTTCCAAAGATGTATACCAGAAAAAAAATGTCTACGAATAACAAATTATTGTTCCAAAGTGAGACCATTTAGAGGCTGCTGACAGGTGCAATATCAATATAGAACATGAGTGCACACATGTTGAGAATATACTGCACACCTCTACACACTTCAAGGGCGCTTCAAAGTGTGTGGGGGGGGGAGTGAAAAAGATGAAAATGCGGAAGCAACAGAGAACAAATGACAAAGGGGAAGTAAAATAAACTTATAATGTCAACCACTCACCAGCCCTTCCTATCAGTATCTATAAGTATTCTGTTCTTGGAAAGCTGCTCTTGAATTAAAATAACCTGGAGTAATTAAGCATAAGAGCATGAGACTGACACTACAATCTACAAAAACAAAAATCAAACAAAATGACATGTGATACACTTCAAACCTAAGTTAGAAGTGAAGCAAAATAGTACAGAGGAAAAAGGCCAAATACAGAAAATGAATTTTAGAATGATATATAATAAATAAAGTCATGAGTATGAAACATAATAAATGTACTGTTCACACCTTTTCTGTGCCTTTGACAACAAAATAACCTCCTGGATCAAGTGGGCATTCCCCTAAATTGAATGAAAACCCAGTATAATGGCAAGTCTTTTTGCTCAAATTAAATAAATAAATAAATAAACATAAACGTCGCGCAAGCCTAATTTTAGCAATTCTTCATCAATGATGTTTCCTACGATCATTAAGATATGCAAGCTGGTAGCAGGTCATATAGTTCAAAATATTAATTTTGTCGAATGACTAATACAACCATTTTATAGCTTTGACTCCTGTGACCCATTGAGATGAAAAATTATTTCAAGATTACTTACTATTAACAAATACATTTGATGAAACCAAACATACAAACTAAATGCACCATCTAAGTGGTTAGAAGCATACCTAGGCTTGCCAACTCATCCTCGTCCTTTCCGTACAGGACACAACAAGAACTCCTAAGCATGACAGGCATCCTTCCAATAATAACTTTATTCTAAGGAGTATTCAGAGAGCACATGTGCACCCAGAGATGGAAAAAGAAAGTAAGAGATTTGGTATCAAATACAGAGTATTAAATTAAAAAAAAACACAATTTCCTGTAAAATAATAATATTAAAAACAGTTGGTACCTTGTTTGCGCGAGTTAATTGCCCATGACTCCCAATTACATATTCAATATTTACATATATAGGAGCAGCGTAGCTAACATTAATAAAGAAAACATGTGATGAAAGAAAATATAGAAATTAGCAACAAAGAAGTAAGTTCCTCTTTTTTTCTTTTTCTAGGGTAATTTTATAGAGCTCAAGGTAAAGAAAATGGCCTAGTTTTGCGTGAAATTGCATAAATAATCTCCGGAGAATATATGTAGGGAACACAGTAATATGAAAATAGGTACTAACGTGGTGTCTGATTGCCGACATTGGTGTGGAGTCAAATTCTTTACAATGCCATCTCTCATTATTGATGGTTCACCTATCCAAACATCCGTGTACCTGCATGTAAGACAGGGTTTGTTGTGATTTGTGAAATCATACCACAAGCAGAACATCTGGTCTAAAATTTGAAAAAATAAGTATATTTGTGAATGTATTTGTGAAGTCTACACAAGAAACAATGAAGGCTCACCGTAGAAAAATATTAGGGTCAACTGATAATCTGATCTCATTGTTTGCTCGGACAATCTTTTTTATCTCAGTCCTAATGAAGTAATTATAAGAGTCCAAATGTTGCTTCACCAATCCTCTCACCTACAATTTATTTATTCATATAAGAAGAAGAATAAACTATTGTGTCAAACAGTGGTAGCCAGATCATTGTAGAACCGGATTATCTACCAACACTAAAATACTACAATGCTGCATGCATAAGCTACAGACTACAGAGAGGCCAAAAGGCTACCGACAACGTTCTTATCTAATATCCTCGGTGAGATCCAAAGGTCGACGGTCATGTATTATCACCTGGTTACATGTATTCCTAATTACTCCCTCCATCCCACTATAGTTGTCCACTTTCATTTTTACACACCATCCAATGCACTTCTTTAGTCCATTTTATCTTGTAATTTGTATATTAAAAAATTATAGAAATTATATATTAATAATCTATATGTTAAGACAAATCAAACAAGATCACACATGACTATATTTAGGCTTACACATTGAGAGAATTTGATGAGTCAACGTGCTTAGATGAACCGTTCCAAAAGTCAAAAGTGGACGAATATAGCGGGACGGAGGTAGTATTTCCTATGTATAGCCCTACCCTCTCTGGCACCTTCTAATTGGGCCTCTGCATTTCTCCTCCTTATGTACAAACCACCTTATCTTAGCAGATCATCTTAGGCACTAGGTGTGCATCCAACATTACTTCCACTTCTGACTCATTTGAGTTGCCACTGAACAGACATTCTACATATTCTCTCTTAGTCCTGCTCAATCAAAAACCCTTGGATTCCAAAGAATAACGCCACACTCTCTACTTATCATTGAGCCCCTCACATAGAAAATGAAACCAGGCTAACATCTAAAAACAACAAAGGGAATCAAAAGCTTATAGCACTTGCACAAAACCCCTATAGAAAGCATATATCACTGATTTCAAGCATACAAATTTATCTTGTTCGTTGTACATAAACATGGAGCTACACTAGTATTTCATAAATACAATGTAAACAGTCCACTATCTCAACAAATTTCAAGCAATATCATCTTTTTTCTATAAAAGTATTAGGAAGTTATTGTCAATTTTAATTATGCAAGTTTTGGTATAAAATTTTAAATGCATTGGCTTTAATATTCTACAAAAGCTAGGTATACAGTCCGATGTCCCAACCAATTTCAAGAATTATCGTATTTACTTTATGAAGAAAAGAATTAGTGACTTTTATTGCCAATTTTCTTAAAATTGATTCTTTTGGATGATATGATTGTTCACCGATGCATCTATTCAATTATAATATCCTATCAATTAAAATTCCTTAGATCTCAAGTTTATGATTAAACAGATGTTTCATTGTAATGACCTAACAATGGCTTTGACCTCCAAGCCTGCAAATGAATATGTAATATAAAAACATGTTCAGCCGTGTTCTTTCTTGAGAAAAAAAATAGTACCTTTAAAAATTCCGGTACGAGCTGATACTTGTCAACTGCATTCTTAATGGGAGACGATAGGAACTGCTTGTCAACTTTGGGGTTTCTGGATTCAAGTTATTAAAGAAAGAACCCAATATAAAATTTCTATCGTTTAACATAAATACGCAACAGAAAATTTAAAAACGTAACATCACTGTATACATACTCTTCCAGGTTGCCGTAAGCCATGATGATGATTGTTTATATATGGCTCAGGAGCCTGAGATACTCTCGGAGCAATGGCACAGCCAAGAAACTCAGCCTCTGGGATCCTAACTTCCAAGTCTCAAATTGTGGTACTGCCAATAGGCGATAGCAGTACGCGGGTTGATCTATATATTTAAAAATAAAAATAAAAACTACATCTTTACATGACAAAACAAAACAAAAATTAATTCTTATACACTAAGGGAGTACTACTATGGAATAAATATTGGTTTCATCGGCTAATCCATGATTAAAAATGAAGCAAATGCCAAAAATCCTAATTGAAAGTTAAATTAGGAACATCCGGAGTTCTACTAGATAAAAGAAAAAACTAGAAAAACTTGGGTCTCCCTGAGTTTGTTCAAAAAAAGCCAAATTGAAAACAAACAAATGAACACAATCTCAAACATGGAGCAGAGGATGTATGCTACCGGACACAAATTCAAAAATTTAACAATTCTTCAAAAAACCCAATTCATATACAGAGTAAACAACATTTGAAGATGGGGGACAGTTCGGAAATAAAAACCAAGTTCGAGAATTGAAGAAAACCCTCCACTCCAGGATTTTCCGGCCATGGTGTCCCCTACCTCCCAATCTCATGTCAAACTACTTCATAAGTCTTAACATTTAACAATAAACTAAAACTAATATATGAAGAGTACCATAATTAATACCATAATACATATAAATAAAGTCATACGAAAACAATATCGTTTACAATTGTACTTGTCCAGTTTTCATACCTTTATCACTTGCAATCCTAAATCAATTTTTTATTGAAGAAAAATCTTTGATTCTTTAATAAATAAGTAATGAATAAAAAATAAATGTATAAATTATTATATATTACTCCGTACTAAATACTAATCATATATTCATATATCAAACTTTAAAGTTCAAACTACCATAAAAATTAATTTTAGTAAAATAAAGAAAAGGTTTTACCTTACCGCTGAGTAGCTGACGGAAGTGACGGAGACCCTGGATTTGGACTGCGTGGAGTGCTGCCGGCTGCCAGTGAGGTCTGAGGCCTGAGGTGCTGCCGCTGTCCGCTGACGAACTCAGAACGGCGAACCGGCGAACGGAGGGCGACGGCCGACGGGAAGACGCAGGTAGCTGGCGGGCGGCGACTGGCCGCAGTCTCGCACTCTAGTCAGAACGGCAGAAGCTTTAGAGAGTTATAGAGAGCAAATTTTGATGAAAAATGCTAGGGTACACAAATATGTACCCCATTTGTGCCATAAAAATAAAATAAAAATGGGTGGTGGAGAAGGGGTGGTGTACATTTGGAGTACAATTTTGGTGTACTCCTTGCATTGCTCGTGTATATTGTATTTTACACTACCAAATATGTTTTAGCAATCCATTTTTTCATATCTATTCCAATCATATCTTTTAAATAATACACTTTTTTATGTTATTATAATTTTTAAAATATTCATTTGTGATAATATTTATATTTTTAAAATTTTTATGGTACATGTATTTCAAACTATACATAAATTGAGTATTTTTATAAGAAACATGAAATATAAATGTATTTTAATAAATATATAGAAAAAATAAATTTACAAGATGGGAATAGCAAGTAGTGTACTAATACAAGGTGAGACTTGCTTTTTACAATATAGTGTTAATTTTGCACTACCCATTGGAGTGACAATTTTGCTATAGTGTCTTGTATATTATATATTTTTTATAATATACAAGACCCATTGGAGTTTCTCTTAGGGTTCCAAAATCAAAATTAAAAGTGTAAAATAAAGAATTGGGGAAGAGAGGAGCAATTCGCAGAGAAAAGGGGCAAGAAAACGACGTCGTTTTGATGCTAAATAAAAAAAATTGACACCAAAAAATACCAGGCGGGGAGACGAACCTCTCCAACGGTTAGGGTGTCTCACTGGACACTCCACTGAACCAAACGCGCTTGTATTTATCATATGATAAGAGTTCTATATATGTTAATCTTTATACATACTCAATACCTATATGGACCTACACTGGGTCTGTGGGGTCCCGTGGATCCGCCTCTACTCGACTCCTCGTAGCGATTGTGATACCAGCAAAGACAGGCAAATAGGGGAAGTGTCAATAGAGGACCCGAATCCTCTACACTGTCCGAACGTGCTACTCTTGTATATTATAAAGGATCTGACATCAAATATAACAATAAGGGCTCCAAGGAAGCTTCTAAAAAATAGATCACCGCCTATATGAAAGACACTGTAACATCACCTATTTCACTTTTTCTAAAACTGGAACACCCGGCCCGATAGGATTGTAAATCATGGTATAATCTCAATCTGATCCTTAGAGATGTCATCACATGTCCGATGCGCACAAGGATTTATTACAAATATTAGAATTCTCACATTTCCGCTGTCGGGATTCAACCTTGGACCAATGGACTTGACATCCTGTATTATAATCACTTTTTCCTGTTTCTATCTTAAAGCGAGTTTGTGTTAAATGAGAGGGTAAAGTAGATTATGTGTTAATTTTAATTGGTGGTTCATTACGCCAACACTCACTATTGTTTGGTAAATAAGCAACACTATACTCATTGTTTCAAAATTTACGTCGTTGTTCCTCATAGTTCTAATGTTACTACATCAATGCCCCTCTGGTCTAGAACATCCTTCGAATATTAGGTGAATAGCTTTACTGCCCCTATAGTTTTGGAAATGGACTCCACCACTCTCTTTTTTCATAAATGTTCTTTATTTTGTTTTTAAATTTTTTTATAATGTTTTAATAATCAATTTTTTGTATTTTCAATAAAAAAATCAATTATATAAAAAACTTTAACGCACATTTCATCTGTCTCAAATTAAATATTTTTATTTTTTTATAAGAGAGGTCTTTATTAGTTCATTTTCATGATACAAAAGTCAATGAAACATTCTCTTTTTACACTCTCATTTCTCATCATATATATATATATCTATATATACATATATATATATATATATATGTATATATATGTATATATATATCCTGGAGCTGCTGCATTGATGTGATAATGAAAAGGATGCATGTGACGAACTCAAAGAGCTACAGCATATAATACTTAACAAAAAATCCAAACATAACCAGGCTGAACTCGTTCAGTTGCAAATACATGTATACCTCTATTCTCTACTACTAGTAGTACTAATACACTACTCCTAACCTTGTTCACAAACCCTCTACTGCTTGGACAAGAAGACAACCAAAGAAATAATAATGCTCTGCAGAGTAATTCTGCTATCAATGGTAATTGAAGCAAAACATCTACTTGGTGTTATGGTATACATTCATGTCCAGGTAACAACCTAAAAAGAGTTCAAATTCTGTAAGCCTTGTTACCAGGCAGTTCTATAGATACATTTTTCTTATATATATGTGTGAATAGTTTTTAAAACAAGGTAAACTTAAAAATAAAAAGAATAATACATGGCTGGCTGGCTGGTTATAAACCAGGAAACAGCATCTGGAAAAAGCTCCTCAATAACATGGGATATAAAAATGGCGAAAAAGGGGAGGGGTGGGGGGTGGGGGGTGGGTCTCCTCAATAACATGGGGACAATAGGAGAATCCCAATTGAACAGTAAATTTAAATTTATCCGAGAGACTCTTTTAGCCACTAGTCCACCTCCTCCTCCGTGGGGGGCGTTCAGCCTTGACCTCAGAATCTGGTCGCGTCTCCACTTGCCCAGCAGAAGCAAAATTTTCATTTTCCATCTTCTTGACCGTTGTCGCTTCTTTATCTCCTCCGGGCATGGGAAGCTTGAAACGCTCGCTTCTCTTCTTCAACTTCTCAACAGTCTCCAAGTGTTTATCCTCCACTCGTTTAACATCAGCTGAACTAATAGTCTCTCTAGCACTGTTACTGTTTTCATTCTGTTGTTCACTGCCATCTGCCTTCTTTGAAGGTTCATTATCATGTTGAGCATTGGGTCCTGTGATGACATCATTCTCCTTTATGGTTAAGGAAGAAGATGGTGAGTTGCCGGTGTTGACACTGCTCAACTCTCTTTCCCTGTAGCTCGTCCATCGTTCCAATTTGGAACGCCCTCTCTTTGAATCAGGCATCTCATCGTCAGACCAAGCATCTTCACTGTGCCTCTTGGAAGATTGACGACTCATGTGGATCTCATTCTCATCACTAGCTTTATCAATTTTTCGTTTCAAGCTCCCCTGAAATATGATTTAAGTAAAAAAAATTTATATAGAGTAGTTAGGAGAAACCTTTGTCACCAAGAAAACGTCAGACCTAGCATGTGATAGACCCACATGAATAAGGCAAATACCGTTAGGGGGCATTGGCTCACGAAATCTGATATTTACATCGCTAAAGTAAGAAGTGCAATGTGCGAGTGCCTTGTTTGATTCAAATTTTCTCATATTAGTGATTACCAAGGCAACCTGAGATTACCTCCACATTGGAAAAGGAGGCAGTGTTGTGGGTAATCGATTGCCTTTGGTAGTTTGGTTTCATAGGTATTGCAAAATAACATTGGTAATATTTTAAAGTTTAGACAATCACTATCTAGTCCCTAACAATTTAACAACACAACTAATACTCCGTATCATATACTATGAACCAAAAAGCTTAAGCTAATCTTACATTCCAATAATCTTGCATTGCCTTCGAGGAGGTAAACATATTACCTGAGGCAATCTTACATTCAATGAGCCATTTGAGAAGATGAAAGGGCAAGACTCGCACTTCATTATTTCATCAAGAATTCAAAACAATACACTAACACTAGCAAGGCAGTTGTGTTCAATTATTATTGCTAGAATGATAGGTGAAGATTTATTTTCAAACATCTAAAAAAAACTTAGATTTTATTTCATGCTTACTTTATGCAAGTTAACTTACCGTCTCACTTGCATGTCCACTGCGATCATCTTCATTCGCCCTTGAAGGAAGCATAGAGGCCTGATCACCGGCTTCAGATACTCTATCCTTCGTTGAATTCTCTCTACGTTTCTTTTCATGAACTTTCGAACTATCAGATTCGTAGGCAGAGTGATCTTGACGGGTGCTTACCCTTTCATTCCTTGCTCTCCGATCATCATTATTAGGTTGGTTCCCCCGTCCATATACATCTTCACGGCTCCTATGTCGTGAAGGACTTTTGTTTTCATCGCGCTCCCTTCGTTTGAGATGCTCAACATGCCTCCCTATCTCCTTTGATTGGTATTCTCTGTCAGAACCTTTGTACTCATGTTTTCCCTGTGAGCCAACCCGTGATTTCTCATCAGCAACTCGGCCCACCCGCAACCCACCATGCACTTCATCTCTTACTCTCTTTGATGTAATTTCATCATGGGATTGTTTATGCCTATACCATTCGCCGCGATCCCTGTGTCTCTCACCTCGTTCACCTTGAAACAATGCCTCTTCTTTGTGCCTGACTTCATCTCTTAATCTTTGCTCATCTCGCTTCCTTTGATCTGAAATGTCATCTCTCTCCCTCTTACGGCGAAGAGTTTCATCTCCACGGGCATGCATTGTTTCTTCCCTATCCATACGTTCCCTGCTTGTTTTTGTATCTTCCTTCCTTCTTTTACTGTGACGGTCGTCTATGTTATCAAATCGGTTCTTCAAATCATCCCTTTCTCTGTGACGGAATCCTGCATCTTTTTCGTGATCAGACCTCAGATTTCCATTGTCCAATTGCTTCCTTAATGAATGGCGTTCTTCTCTTTCACTTCTATCAATGTCACGACTCTTGTTCCGGTGTTTGGATTCATGCTCATCACTATGATCTCGCTTTCGGGAGTCATCCACTTTAGACCTCCTTCCATGCAAATCATCATCCTTGTGATGCCAAGCCACGCCAGAGTGATCACGTTCTTTACGCCAGTCTACAACAGAAGTTTTAGTGTGTAAATGATGGCTTGAGCTAGAGTCATATCCTTTACGTGGATAAGAATCGTCCCTCGCTTTCACTACCATCCGGTGTTTCCCTGTTTCTTTCTCATCGTGGCCTTTTCTTCGTAATCTATCATCTTCTCCATGTGTTTGCCTGATATTATCAGGATGTGTAAAACGTTCATTATGAACTTCTTCCTCAAGACCTTCGTGTAATAAACAATGCTCTTTGCTGCTTCCAGACCTTGTTTTGCTGTTTTCGCTAGCCTTTGAA